CCCGGGCAGCCCGGCCCCGCTCCGGTGCTGGGCCCGCCCGCGCCTCCCCCGCAGTCTGGCCGGGGAGCGGGGTGTCTGCGGGGACCCCTGCCGAGTACCCGGTGGCGTCGGAGCCGGGGAAGGCCCCGGTGGCGGGACGGTGCTGGGACCCTGGCGAGGGAGGCACCGCTTCTGTGTGAGGTCGGCTCGGCCGGGAGCGCCGGGTGGGCTGTGATGGGTGCTCTTGCTTGGGAAAGTGTCCCGTTAGGCCTGCGAGCCGGCCCTCGCCCGCCCGCCCGCCCGCCCGCCCGCCTCCCTCCCAGGCGCCGTCGCTGCGCGTCGCCTGCGCGAGGCCGGGCCCCAGGTACAGGTGGCGAGGGTTCAGTTTTTAGTTTTACGGGGGTGTACTGACTAAGCCGACTCTGCACCGAGCCTTCTTTGAGGGTGTGTGTGTGTGCGCGCGCAGCATATTCGGATCGGTCAGCGCCCCGGCCCTTCCACGCTCAGGCCTCTTGCTTGCCCTTTTGGTGGGTGACATCTTTCTCGTGTGTTCTCATTTTTGGGTCCTTCCTCACCACCTTCCTGTGAACTGGAAGTTTACAACTAACTGGGGGAAAGAAAGGGTATCAACCTGAAACATTTTTTCATAAGGTCATTGTTTTGTGTTTAAAGACACAAATTGAAAACACTATGTCTCGCAAGAACAGTTCCTATGGAAAGAGAACAGTTCCTGTGGGAAGCTCTTAAGAATCAAGTAGGCCGTTTTCATTGACGCCAGCGTGGTGACCCAGTTGTGGCTCCCGAGCAGGCAGGCTCTCACGCAGGCAGGCAGGCACGGCCGGGCACACTTGCTGTGCAGCCTCCAGGGCCCTCGGCTTTGCAAGACAGTTCCACAGCCCAGCCCAGGTAGGTGTCCCACGGAGCTGCTGCCAGCTGTCAAGTGAATGACTTTCTGCTGAAGAGTAAGTTCCCAATCTGTTCGCATTACACCGGCTTCAGGAAAATCCCAGGCCTCCAGCCCTTAGGCTAGTGCTCTGTGCGGCAGCTTCAAGCCTGGATTGCAGGGGGAGGAAGGCTTTACGAACACTGTCCCCCAACACTGTCATCGTCGTCGCCCCCCCTCCCCGGCAGAACTTCTTCCCCAGTGCTGGGGGTGGTGACTGCTGCCCTTCTGAGTCAGGTCAGGACCCTCTGACTTCCTGTGGGAAGAGTCTGGGGGAGGGGAATGAAGGTGCTTTGGCTTTGTCATTCACCAGGAACATTTGAAACAGAGCCACCTACTGGAAGAGGTAAGTGAGAAGGAGGCTGTCATCTACATGGGGGGCTGCTGGCGGGCTAGCATATTGTGGAGGGCTCCGTCAGGTAAAGGAATGTCCACTTTATCTAATCTTGGCTTCACAAAACAGAAGCAAAAGGGAAGTGACAATTTTGCCCAGAGAGTCTGGGCTGCTGAGACTGAGACCTAAAAAGCTTTGTCTCTGCCCAGGTGACAGGAACATGGGCCTTTAGCAAGCAGGCCTTGTTGGGCCTTCCCGTGACCCTCCTGAGTCCCAGAGCCTTGAGGGGTTGCTGGTGCCTACCCTCCCCTCTCTGGCTATCGGGCATTGTCCTCCCCACCACCGGCCCATGGAGAAGTGTGCTGCCTGGTGTCCACTGGCAGGCTCCTCTGAGCTGCATCTCCACGCCTGGCATCAGGCTCCTGCCCTTGGCAGCAAAGGACAGTGTCCTCTTGATTGCTGGAAGCCAGGCTCTGGAGAAAGTGCTGAGGCTGCTGTGTGGTAGCTGGGCATTCTCAGGCCATTAGAGGCCAGGCTGGAAGGGGCTAGAAACTGAGGCACTGGGCCATTGGCTCGCTGCCTCCCGGACGGATTGTGGAGCAGCATCTCTGGCCATGCACACCCATAACCATGGACGTGGGCATCTGGTGGGTTCTGCCTGACAGCTGGCTCCCCGTGCTTTCACCTGTCCTGGAGGGCATAGCTAGGAGCTGGAGCGGGCCTGGGCGCTTGCCGAAGCAAGGCCCGGACCCTCAGGCTGCATTGTGGTGTTGGGTGTTGGGGTGTGTTTAACACCATGTGCCGGCGGAGCCTGGAGACATAGTGGGCTCCCCGAGCAGCCCCCCTCATGTCTGCTCTGTCCTTCCCTGCAAGGGGCTTCCTGCTCCGTGCCATATAAAGGTGGGGAGCTGGCTCTCTCTGCTTGCTGGTCTTTCTGTTTTGGTTTAGTTTTGTTGGGGTGGCTTTTTTTTTTTTTTTTTTTGTATTTGGTACAGGGTCTCACTGCACAGATCAGACTTGTAGCGATCCTCCTGTGTTCAGCCTCCCAAGCGCTGGGATTTCAGGCACTGCCACCACACCCAGTCTCATTCGCCATCTCAGCGCACCTCAGGGGCAGGGCTTGCATGGCATGCTGGGGATTGAACCTTGGCCACTGCACTCTGCCTAAGCAAACACTTCAGGCCCCTGAGCTATGTGGCCGGCCCTTGGTTTGCATTTTTGAGACAGGGTCTTGCTGTGTAGCCCAGGCTGGCCTCAGACTTAAACTATGTCTTGGGGTTACAGGTGTGCACTACCATCCCCAGCCTTGTGCTTGCTGGTCTTAAAAGGATCTTTAAAAAGTGGTACATACCATTCTGAGGAGTGGGCGGAAGACAAGACTTGGAACCCACCCAGGGGCCTGGGTTGCTTATCATAGTCCCATATCTAGTAAGCCGGGTGGGTGGTCTGCATCACAGGGCTCTTGACATGGGCAAAGTGGAAGCCTTCAGGGTGCCATTGGGAGGGACACTTGCTGGGATCCTCAAGTTGTGGCTGACTCCTCTTCCAGCCCCAGCTCTGCCTTGTCGTCATGGCCTCATTTCCTGGGGTGTGTGGGCCTGTGGGCCCCGAATGGGGCTGCCCTAGCCTAGTGACAGTTAGGTCTGATCTGCCTTCACAGGGCTCTTACTTCCTCTCTCCTGAGTGCCTAGAGAAGGCCAGGGCTTCTGCGCAGTGGAGCTGCTGTGGGTAGCTGTGCCCTTGTGTCCTGTCTCAGGTCAGGTCAGGGACAGCTGCGTGTCCAGCCCTGCCAGACTCCCGTGACACACCCTCCCTGGACCGGGGCAGTGAGACTCAGGAGGAGCCTGTCTTCTCCCCACAAACTGTCTGCCTGTGCCCACTGCCTCTGCTTGCCTGTGCTGCCCCTGGAACAAGGGCCAGGGTCACAGTAGAGTGTGTTCAGTGTTCAGGGCCAGCCTGGGCTGTCACTTTGCACCTGAGGGCATGCAGGAAACGTGCCTAGCCCAGTGCTCACTACTGTGGTTTTGCGCTTCTCCCCAGAGCCAATCACCGAGAGGGTCTCTGACCAGCTGGCCTGCCCCTGTGCCTCTCTAATCCTCTTGACCCAGACGTCCAATTAAGAGCAGCCGACTCATCAAGAGGCTTTTAACCATGGCTTCAATCTCAAAGGCTGCGTTCTGGCAAATGAGCTCCTTGGTGCCGGGTGTGGGCCCAGGGAGGGTCTGACCACAGCCTGGGGCCGAGGGTGCTCCCTGCGGGCGCAGCCCGTGTAATCATGCTGCCTGCTGCTGTCAGGAGAAACAAGTCAGAACACCCCTGGTGTCTGTCCCCTGCTTGGGGGTCCGCACCCTGGGCGGTCCTGCATCTGCCCAGCCACAGGGAGTGGCACCCTCCGGGCACCTGCTCCTCCCCAGATGTAGACCAGGCCAAGGGCCGTGCTGCTGGCAGAGGTGCCAGGGCTTCCGTGGACCAGGGCTGCTCAGGAGCCACCCGGCAGCGTCGTTATCTGTTTCACGATTGCACTGTTGCCCGGCATTGGGAGAGCGCGAGAGTGAGTGGCAGAAACTGGGTGCTGTGTGGTGTCGGCTGTGCCTTGACCTCCTGCTGGGTCACTGCGTGCGTGCGTGTGCGCGTGTGCACGGGTGCACGCTCACCGTGGGGCCCTAAAACTCAGCCAGGCGGGGCCTTGCCTTCTTTCCTTTCTTCCTCCCTCCCTCCCTCCCTCTCTCTCCCTTGAAGGCAGGTTTCAGTATGTTGCCCAAGCTGTTTTGAACTTGTGGGCTCAGGCAGTCCTCCTGCCTCAGCCTACAGAGTGCCGAGATGACAGGTGTGTGCCGCGTCCTGGCCTGCTTGTAGGTTTTGTAGGGGCTTTTGGTACCAGAAGGCAAACTCAGGATGGGTTTTTGTTTCTGGGCGCTGGGAATCAAACTCTGGGCCTTGTGCTTGCCAGGCAGGCTGCGCTGCTGAGCTCTGTGCCTGGCCGCTGACAGGCCTTTTGACTGCAAATTGTAGCAGATCTTATGACTGCTCATTGGGCTGTCGCGCTTTGTGCAGGGCAGCGGTCCTCTCGCCCCTCTGGTCACTGTTAGGACAGTCGGGCCACAGTGCCCCCCCACACCTGCCTGCTCCGTCCTGTGGCTGCTGGACTGTGTATCTGTCCCTGACTTCTGAATAAGTGTGCAGATTGGTGATGCGGGCTCAGGCGTGGTCAGCGTGACAGCAGTGGCACAGGAGCCCATCTGCAGTGCTGGTCAGGCCAGGGCCGAGGGCACAGCAGCCGAAGGCTGAGGACGCCTCTGCTGTGTGCCTTCCCTGGTTATGGCGTGGCCACAGCCTCGGAGGGCCGCGTGACCCTTTCACTTGGCTGCTTTCAGACAGACGGATGGGCAGACTCTGCCCTTTAGACTCTCCTGACGTGTCACTCCTGGGGGCAGGCCTGATCTTTCTCCCGAGGGCTGCCGTGTTATCATTGGATTTCTTTCACCCTGTAGTTGGGCTCTGAAGGGCATAAGGGAGAAGTATGTGACATGCCCCTGCATGACACTTGCACCTGGCTCCAGCAGGGCACACTGGCGCCCTGAGCCCATCACAGATGGTCTAACACAGCAACAGAAGGGAGCCAGGAGGGTATTTCCCCCTCACGTCATTCAGTGACTTTACACACTTGCGGTTCATTGGCGTTCAGTTAAATTCTCCGGCTCCCTGGGACAGAGCAGTGTGAATGGAAGTGTAGACAGTGTCCAGCTGAGCCTGTGGTCCCAGGTCCAGGCCCTGAGAGCTTCCAGCACCACTAGTGGTGGGCAAGGCCAGCCCTGTACTGTCAGCCTAGTCCCCGGAAGCCTTGTAAAGGAGCTGGACACCTGGCAATGACAGACACATGTTGGTGCCGTGGTCAGGGTCAGGGGAGCTGTTAATGTCATCTCATGGGTGGAGGCTGGGGGTGCTGTGCTGCCCAACGCAGTGTCAGGGTGCAAGGTGGCATGGCCCAAGAGTGTGGTTCTGTGCTTGGCACTTGTGTCTCGTGGCAGATCTACCTTTGATGGTGGTAGCCGCCATGTAATGGTCCTGTGGAGCGAATTGGGGGAAACAGTATCATGGTGTTGTGGTTGTCACCCTAAAGGATTGGTGCCAGGCCCATCCTGGTGAGTCTATCCACAGGCCTGAGCGTGGATTGTCACGTGTCCAGACTTGGAGTGCCTGGGAACAGGTGCTGGCTTACCCACATCCTCCTAGGAAGGTGCTGGGCTGGCGACTGGGCTTCTTGCCCTGGGGCCACGTGGCTGTAGACTGGGCTCCAGGCTGCAGCCCCTCATGCCTTGTCTCTGGCCCTCCAGTTCCTGCGCGTCACCAAGCAGTACCTCCCACACGTGGCCCGCCTGTGCCTGATCAGCACCTTCCTGGAGGACGGCATCCGCATGTGGTTCCAGTGGGGCGAGCAGCGAGACTACATCGACACCACCTGGAGCTGCGGCTACCTGCTGGCCTCGTCCTTCGTGTTCCTTAACCTGCTGGGACAACTGAGTAAGTGGCCTGAAGCCTTGCCAGCTTTGCTCAGGGCCTCCCATCCCTCCACAAACAGCGCACAGCCCAGAGCGGGCAAGACTGTTGGTGACCGTGCTGACCAGGGTGCGTGTGTGAGCACTTGACCAGGTTCGCTGCTCTGGGGCTGCTAAAGGAGCCGGGCGCAGTCCTTGTGCTGAGTGTCCCCAGCAGGGGATTCTGGAGAAGGGGTGGCCACGGCGGGCAAAGGATGGGTCCAGAGGCCAAGGAGGGCTTGGCTCAGGGCGGAAGGCCATCAGCGCCTCCGCGCTTTTGCTCCTGGATGCCCCCCTTCGTCTGCACTGTTCCAGGTGAGGAAAGCGTGTGCTGGCAGCCCACCCCAGCTGCCACAGGCGAGCAGAGCAGAGCCTCTGCAGGGCTGCTGCTGGTCGGTGGTGTGTCCTTAGGACAGCAAGCCCTTGCGGTCTAGACCGAGTGTCTCACGGTGCCAGCGTCCCACTGTGCGCGGCCCTTGTCTGTCAGTGATACTCCTAGGAGTCTTTGTTGGTTTGGAGGCTGGGCCTGAGAGCCGAACAAGGGCAGGGTACCGTAACAGTGTCCCCAACTCTTGCTGTTCCTTCCAGCTGGCTGTGTCCTGGTGTTGAGCAGGAACTTTGTGCAATATGCCTGCTTCGGGCTTTTTGGAATCATAGCGCTGCAGGTATGTAAGGCACGGGGCACTCGGGAGCCGTGGGGTACATGGCCAGGACTCCTGCTCCTGTAGAGAAAAGCGTTGGGCCCAGTGTTCTCCCTTTAGCCCCGGGGCCACTTTTGTCTTGAAGGAAATGCTATACAGGCTGGTCCCCAAGCAGGTGCCAGCTGGGCACTGGCAAGCTTTGATTACTTTCATTACACATGATGGGCATGGGTGACATGGGTCACTGCAGCCAGGATGCTGACTGGCTTTCTCTCCTGCCTGAGCAGCAGTGCCCGGTTAGCCTGAAGGAAACGCACACAGCGGCTGCCTAATGCAGCAGACCGATGGTCTCCGAAGAGTTGCCTCTTCGAGGCTCTGAGGACTGACTAGGCACAGGAAGTGGTGGATCAGATTGCTAAGCGCGGGCCTGCCCTGGGTGCCCTGCAGTGTGTTTCACACTCCCCTCTGCTGGGTGCACTACTGGTAGCAGCAGTAGATCTGGGGGCATGCTTCACAGTGCTGACTTGCTTCTCTGTCCCCCAGACGGTCGCCTACAGCATTTTGTGGGACTTGAAGTTCTTGATGAGGTAGGTGTGTGCTGAGCTGCGGGACTCTGTCCCTCCACCCTCTGGCCTTGCGCTGCAGGCTGCAGGAAGCCTCCAAGTGCGCACGGCGCCTCCGAGGCGCCAACTCCAATGTGGTGCCACAGAGCCTGTTCTGTGTGGCAGGTGGTGACAGTTCAGCCCCCCTGCGGGGGTGGGTGGGGTCTTGTGGCAGGAAGTGGAAACCTGACTCGTTTCCTGTCGCTCAAGGCAGCCCCTGGTGGGTTTGCCCTGGGAGGGTGCCGGGTGCTGCTGCTGCGGTTCACAGGGCTCTGCTGTCTGGTGGCAGAGGCCAGATGAGCTTTTCCCAGCCTCATTCTGTTCCTCAGGAACCTGGCCCTGGGAGGGGGCTTGCTGCTGCTCCTGGCAGAGTCCCGCTCAGAAGGGAGGAGTATGTTCGCGGGCGTCCCCACCATGCGGGAGAGCTCCCCCAAGCAGTACATGCAGCTGGGGGGGCGTGTGCTGCTGGTCCTGATGTTCATGACCCTGCTGCACCTGGACGCCAGCTTCTTTTCCGTGAGTACCGCCACCTGCCCAGGAGCCCTGGCTGCTTGCATGCCCGGGCTGGGCCTGAGCACAGCCTGGGCACAGGTGAACCTTTTATTGCAAGCACACAAACCCCGTGCGCCAGGAGCTGGCTCCCTTCAGGCAGAGCCAAGGCCCGCTGCCCTCTTCGCAGGCTCCTTGACCCCTCTCAAGCCTGGGTTGAGCATGCACAGCTTAGGGCGGAAGCTTCTAGGTGGGCGCAGCGCTGCGGGGAAGGGGGCATCTTCAGCCCAGATGCCAGCTGCAGTGAGGCCAGCCTGGAGCTCCTGTGGCTAAATCACTGCGTGTGGCTCGGGGAGGCATTCTCCCCCAGCCTTCACACCCACATGAGTGGCTTCCCCTGCTCGGGCGTGCGTCCTGCTCTTGGTCACGTCAGCCTTCGTGACGCAGAGCCACAGGACCCTGTGGTTTTCCCATTGATGTTGACGTCTCATGACTTACCTCTCACCCTGTGCAGATCGTCCAGAACATCGTAGGCACGGCGCTGATGATCTTGGTGGCCATCGGTTTTAAAACCAAGTTGGCAGCTTTGACTCTTGTCATCTGGCTGTTTGCCGTCAACGTGTACGTCAACGCTTTCTGGACCATCCCCGCCTATAAGCCCATGCACGACTTCCTGAAGTACGACTTCTTCCAGACCATGTCGGTGATCGGGGGCCTGCTCCTGGTGGTGGCCCTGGGCCCTGGGGGCGTCTCCATGGATGAGAAGAAGAAGGAGTGGTGACAGGCAGGCCCCTGAGCTTCCTGGCCAAGACCCGCCGTCAGCATGGGCTCAGGGCGGAGCTGAGGAGCTGCCGGCGTTGTCCTCTCCCTCCCCTCCCTTGGTAAAGGCACCGATGTTCTGAGAACTTTATTTGCAGACACCTGAGAACCGCTGGGAAAGTCTGCTCTGGAGCCAGTCTGGTACTGACTGCCGAGTGCTGGCTAGCTGGATGGGCGCTCAGTCCCCCAGCCCAGGCTTGGAGCGCGCGGCGGGGCAGCTTGTGGCCCTCACCCGTTCTGAGTCTTTTCTGGGGTGAGGGCCTTCCAGCTGTACTGAGCAGGCACATTTAGCATTCAGAGCAGTCTCGCTGGTTCCTTCAGTTTACATTCTTTGCTCCAACTACACGAATCCGATGGTCACCCGACTTTTCCCACCAGTTAAGCTCCCTGGCTTAGAATCATACCAGTGGCCTCGGCACCTTTTCTGCCCTCCTGTGTAGTTACTTTAAGCTCAGCCACTGAGGACCTCTTAAGAACTCCAGAGCCAGGGAGCGGCACAGTATTGGAGGGCGACTGAGGCCGCTGATGACAGTAACACATTCACATGCTCAGCTGGGACTGGCCCTGGGTGACAGATACCTGGAGATGTCGTGGCTCGCGGCACGGGCCACGAGTCCTTGGGGAGCTGCTGCCCAGGGGCCAGGAGGGCAGTCAGGAGGCTGCACAGGATGGCCAAGCCCACCATCAAATCGGTGTGCAGAGCAGTGGCCCCACTGGACTCAGCCATTACCTCACTTGACCTTCAGAGCCAGGCCTGGACACCCCAGCGGCCAAGTCGCTGTCCCTGAGGCTGTCGCTTGCTCCAGCTTCGTCCACGATTGTCTCAGTTTGTTATGCCTTACCGATTTGGTCTCAATCCTGTATTTAAAAGTTTTCTAACATTGCCTTACACTGTGTCCTCTTTTTAGGGGGAGGGTCTGATGCCATGGCTCTGCCCATCTGCATGGTAACAGGTGCCAGCATGGTGGGGGCCTCTCTGAAGGACTTCCCAGGCCTCTTGGGAGACCAACCAGACCCACAGCGCTGGGGGACTGTGGCTGCTAACCCCATGTTTGTGTTTGCAGCCATGGTACCTCCCCAGGGCCACCATGGGCCAACCCTGGGCTAGTCGCCCTGAGGGGACAGTCGTGGCCCCTGCAGTAGTTGATACTTGTCCCTCGATATTTCCTTCTGATTGGCACAAACCCTCCCAAGCGCCAGATCCCGCAGTGGCATCGGGCCACAGGCCCATCCCTCGTGGTTCTTGGACACGCAGGGCACCTCTGCCGCCGCCCCGCAAATGTGGTGACACTCCCATGTGCCAACGCTGAGCCAGCAGTTTCTTGGGGGCCTGGGGGTTGGGTTGCAGGCGGCTGCCCTGGTGCCGAATGCAGCTGCAAGGCTGGCTTTGTCTGGACCTGGGGGCTGGATCTATCCATTGGTTTTGGCAGAAGTTTCTAAAAATGCTTTTTGCTTTATGTGGGAATAGGTACAAATCTCATTTTTATGCTGTATTTTATATCTTAGTTGTGTTTGAAAACGTTTTTTTTTTTAAACATCAAAATAAATAATGACATTTGTGTATGCAGCATGATCCCACTGGGTGTCCAGCCTGGGGTGCTGCGGCCAGCTGCTTGGCTGGGCCTTGCTCAAGCCCTGGGGACCAAGGGCGCCTCCTCTCCATCTGCTGCTCCCAGGGTGCAGAGCAGGCCACCCTGTGCTGCCTCAGGACAACAAACTTCAGACACACGCCTTCTAACCCGCCTGCTGGAAGGAGCCCAAGCTGGCAGGCCTGCAGTGCCGGCTCTTGAGCTTCTTGGCCAGCGAGCCCCGCTGCCCCTGCGGCAGAGCAGAGAACATAGTTATGCACGCTGTCCCCACCTTCCTGCCACGGGTTTCCAGTGTGGAGCTGGAAAAGGCACCATGGCCTTGCCTCTGGCCTCTGCAGCAAAGACCTGACAGCCTTCCTCCTCCCACAAAGGACAGGAAGTTGCTGCAGGGAGCCAGAACCCTTCCTGAGTTCCTAGGCCATGGCCACTCACGGGGGCCTTGACAGGACCCACATGTCCTTGTCCTTTGAGGCCAGAGGTGGGGACCTTGCTCCTGGAGACCCTCCTTCCCATCAGTGCCCTCTGTTTCTGCTTTACTCAAATGTCAGATTTGGATTTTTCCTTTTTTTTCCTGAGACAGAGACTTACTATTAGAAGTTTGAGATTCATTGTGTAGCCCAGGCTGGCCTTGCACTTGTGGTGGGCCTCCTGCCTCAGCCTCCCGAGGGCCAGGATTATGGGCATCCACTGCCACGCTGGTGGCCAGAGGCTGCAGCTCACCTTCTTGCGCTTGCAGATCTTTTCGCTGGCCACTTGTATCTTCCTGTCCTTGGGGCTCTGCCCTCCTGGAGACCTTGCCTCGTCCTCCTGGTCTGTCAGAAAGTCACTGGTGTCACCCCCGCTCTCAGGTCCTGCGTCCTTTTTGGTGAACAGCTCGGCTGGAAGAACAGGCACAGGGCTGAGGCTGGTTGTAGGTGAGGCAGTGCTCTCTGCAGGGGTCAGTGGGCACAGCTGCCAGGGGCAGGCCAGCAGGAGGACGCCTGACAGGTGGGCTGGACTCTAGAGCTGCGGGGCAGGACTGCGCTTACGTGGGTACAGGTCTGTCATGCTGTCGTCACTGGAGGCTGCCTCCTCGTCACTGGATTCTGGCTGCCAGAAGGCGTCTCTCGGGCCCAGCGGCCTGTCCAAGTCCCTCTGGTCTTCCCTCCTCCTCCGCTTGTGCAGCAGACAGGCAGGAACGAACTCCATCCCTTGCTTCCGACACTCCTCATCTGGGGACAAGCCGGCCCACTCGGGGCCGCCGTGCCCTGATCCCTGTGTGCACCCTGCCAGGCCTGAACCCCTGCCTCCCAGGACAGGCACCAGCACAGCACAGTGGGCACCTGGCCTCACCCAGAGCCTTGCCAGGCTACAGAGGTGGCTGGGGGGGCGGCGCATTGTGCACGTCCAGGCTGCACCCAGGGAGGCTGGCACAAAAGCCGCGTGACCTGTCCCCTGTGGACGAAAGTTCTCCACACAGGCCAGGGCTGGGGCTGTGAGAGCTGGCTGGCTGCTAAGCAGCCCCTGCACTTGGAGCTGGGAGTTGGGATGAACTTCCTCTTTGTGGAAGGCCCTTCCTGAAGTCTCGCTGGTGTCCCCAGCTGCTGGACCTCAACTCTGTAAGCATGGGCTCCAGGAACCAGGGGCCTGTGGTCTTGGTACTCACATCTGTCAGGGAACCTGGCTGCACTTCCGTGCTGGGAGAGAAATCGGCAGGCTCCCTTCCCCATCTTTCCATCCCCAAGCCATCCTGAGTCTGCAGACCCAGACAGGAGAGGTGGTGTGTCCCTGGCAGCCCTCACACCTCAGCCCAGCCTCTGCCCGCTCCCTCTCCCCTCTTCAGCCAGCTCCCTCCCATACCTACCAACCCACTGAGGCTGGTTTGCCTTCCCTTCTGCCACCAACCCTGCCCTGCACGGCTGCGCTGCCACATCCCCTTCTGTTCTCTGCAGGCCAGGCAAGCCATGTCAGTCTCAGTCCTCATGGTTTCAGACACCCACGGCCACGTCCTCTCCTCGGTGGTCAGCGGGAGGCTGGCCTCTGGCCTCTCCCTGTGCCACACCAGACGGCAAAGCACACTTCCTCCCAGCCTGCTTCTGGCTCTGCACAGATCCCCACTGGGAGCTCTGGGAGCCCGGGTGTCCTTGTCCTGCCCCTCACTGTACCAGAGCTAGGGAGACGCATCATCACCTGGGGACCAAAGAAGGGTGACGAGGAGCCCCACTCTGGCCCAGGGAAGGTGGCGCGAGTTAAAGGCCTGCGCCTCTGTCGTGGCGAGGTGACTTACATCTCTGCAGGGCTTTCTGGTACCGCCGTCCCTGAGTGTGCCTCAGCACGTGCTCTGGGGACTTGTTGATGTGCCGCAGGGTGAGTTTGCAGAACAACTGGTGCCTGCGGAGCAAGGAGAGCAGAGCGTTGCGGCTCGCACAGGAGGTTCCGACGCACATAGAGCGCTGCGCGGATGCACCAGTGCCATGCACAGGGCGATGGGGCCAGATCAGAGGTTTTAAAAGGTGCAGAAACAATCCTACATCGCGGATGGGGGGCAGACCACTGAACCCGACAGACTGTGACCTCACTGTCGCTGGCAGGACAGGCGCAGCAGCCTGACGCCGCCGCTGGGCAGGCACACGCGGTAGACAGCCTGGGCACGGAGACTCGAGCGTGGGGCATTTGCCACCACCTTCTGCCTCCGACGGCGGCGCAGCCACATGCTGCGGTCACACCAAGGGTCCCCGCGGCGGAGGGGGACCCTGTCTCAGTACCAGTAAGGGCGCGCAGGCCACCTACGGGTGCTTGGTGCTGGGCACGATGTGTGGCTCGAACTCGGCGTAGTCGAAGGCCGGGGAGGCGCGCGCCAGCCGCTGGAACTTCTTGCCGCGAGTGTAGAGCTGCAGCTCGGGCAGGCGGCAGGGCAGCTCGTGGCCCGTCAGGGAGCAGCGCACCTGCGGAGACGGCCGCGGGTGGGTCAGGGCGCCGCGCCCGCGCTCCCCGGCACCCCTCCCAGCCCGTCCCTCGGCTCCGCGCTCCTCCGGGTGCGGACCCTGTTGGCGCCAGGGAGCAGGCGCAGGCTCGGGTGCTGGCTCAGGAAGGCCTGCAC